GATATATATATATATATATAATGCCCAAATTTTAATATCTACACTTCTAACACATTGTTGGTGTTATGTTTGACATGATGTTAAAGATTTGAGTGGTATGCATGTAAAAATGAATGTGTAGGTGTTAGATATATAAATGCCTCTTTTTTCTAAAACAAAACCATCATCCATAATATATGAATTTTTGTTGAAAACTCACAAGAACCGATGTCATCAGTCCAAGAGAACCAAATCCTGTAGAGGAAAGAAAAAAAAATGGCATTTTATTAGTAGCCCCATAACTTGGTTTTATTATGCCAAAATTGAGATTCATTGATATTATATTTATGAATATAAATCATAAAAGAATCCAGACCTTGAGCTAAGAAATCGCTCTGCACATCTCCATCATAGTTCTTGCAAGCCCAAACGTAGCCGCCTTCGCTCTTGACCGCATACGCGACCATATCATCAATAAGCCGATGCTCATACCTACCAATAAATAACATTCAGATTGGTAAAAATTAGGGAAATTTCCATACATATCACACAATTTTTTAATGTATTCATATATCTAACATCTTAAATTTGATATTTATATTTATAACATTTTGGTGTTATAAATTCATGCATGAAAATGTGTATTTCATTCTATAAAGTTAATAAAAATGGTATTTTTTATGTGATATCGAAGCCTTTGAATTTTATGCAAGTAAATAAGAAAATTTAAGTGTTTAATATGTAAATATATAAGAATTGTGCGGTATGTATATAAATGTCCCTTTTTAAAAATATGTTGGGTATACATTCCTAGTAAAGGTTACGAATATGTTGATAAAATTTTATGTTAAAACTCATAAATTTACAATTTTTTAGAGAAATTTACATACATACCATAAATTATTGTGTATTTACATATCTAACACCTAAAGTTTGATATTTACATTTACAACATTTTGCAGTTGCAAACCATTACATGAAAATATTTGATTTCACCTTTGTACAGTTAGTAAAAGTGGAATTTTGGATTTCATCAAATATTTGAGTGTTATGCAATAAGAAAGTTTAGCTGTTAAAATATGTAAATATATAAAAATTGTGTGGTATACATGTAACGAAACTAAAAGATATTCATATTGCAAATAACTCACCAGATACCAGATTCCTCAAACAAGGATTTCCACTTAGATTCGTATACTTCCTGAAATATATCTTTGAATCTGGACGAAAATATCAAGAAAATAATTAGAGGAAAATGTTTCAGCAAAATTATGCAAGTTCTTGTTCAGAAATGGCTGCAAATGCTTAGTAGTTAATTACCTTCCATCATATTTCTTAAGAATTGTGTTTTTGGTACTAAGGTACAGTGGCCACTTTTTCTGATAAGCAGTATTCATAGAAGAGTCGGCAAAGGCGCGGATGGACTGTATGGAACAACAGTGGAGATATAAGAAGGTAAGTTGACAAAAGGAAAAAGGGGCATTTACATACATAACACCAATTTCCTATGTATTTACATATCTAACACCTAAATTTAACATTTTACATTAATACCACCCAAGTCTTTCATATCACATAATAAATATCTGTAAGATGGCATATATGTAAAAATTGAAGTTTAGGTGTCAGATATGTGATTACAAAGGAATTATTGAGTGGTATGTATGTAAATCTTCCCACAACAAAAAAAAAGGAGCAAGATGGTTCAGACAGAGAGAATGGTTATAGGATATGAACCTCATCAGTATTGTACATGGAGAGTGCTACTCCACCTTCCCCAGTGAAGTTGAAGACCTCTAAATCAATTTGTTCCTCTTTTCCCTCTGGAAATGTGTAGTACAAAGCTCAAGCACTAAGCATAAAGTCAGCACTAATCTTCACAGAGAATGAGATTTTGCATGTTACATATCGAGTTGATATTTTATAATAAAAAATTTTATTTGACATTTGAATTTAATTTTTTCAAACAATAGAAGATAAATAATAAGAAAATCAAATAAAATTATTTATTATATTCTATAACCTGCATGATCTAAATACACTCCTATATGCTGCAAATTGAGCCTTTTGCATAACCAAGGACTAAAGTGATCTCTCACAAATTATTAAGAGATCACCTTGATCCTTCTTTTTGTTCACAAGCACAATTTTTTGAAAAATGTAGTAAAAAGTAAGATGATTTACATACATACAACTAAATTCCAATGTGTTAGATAATTAGTGGTGTGAATGTAGAACCCCCTAAACGCAAGTATTGGGTACCATTATATTCTATTTATATTATATATATATAATTCTACAACTCTTACCAAATACTAGTCTGAGCTTTCCAGGTCCTTTAATTACCAGATCAGTAGCTCTATATTGATCACCAAAAGCATGTCTTCCGATGCATATGGGCTTTGTCCAACCTGAAAGTAACGGAGTACATGAGCGGATACAGAAATTCTATTATTACAGATTAGTAAGTTAGAGGCCGTTTGGAGTCGCTTTTAACTTTTGTTTTCTACTTTTTATTTTTATTTTGATCTATTTATGTTTTTTAATGAACATGTTTATTTGTTTTTAAAAATATTCGGAATTATTTTTATATGTTTTGAGTGCTTTTAAAAATAAGCTAATTTGTTTTAAAAACAATAAAAAAAATTACATTAAGAAAAAAATGTTTTTGAAATTAAAAAAACAAAAAATAAATTGAATTTAATTAAAATGATAGCAAAAAAACCCTTAAATTCCCTCCAGAGTTATACCTGGAACAAGCCTTGGGACATTCTTGCATAAGATTGGCTCCCTGAAAACAGTACCTGAATAAAAAGAGAGAGCAGCACCATAATGTAAAAAAGTTTGAATGGCTTAGAGAGAGGCTTTTAATGATACAGAATGGCGTGATATCTGACCATTCAAAATGTTTCTAATTGTTCCATTTGGACTCTTCCACATGGCTTTCAAGCTGAATTCCTTAACCCGAGCTTCATCTGCCATGTTTGCCATAAGAAGTTAAACAAACTAATCTGTAATTAAATTGACAAAATAACACATTTATTTCAATTAGTTAAAACTTACCAGGAGTTATTGTTGCACATTTGATGGCTACATTGTATCTGCATTTGAAATCATGTTCATTTCAAGTCAAATATAAAGATTTACAATACTAGCCTCTCACAAAAAAATAAATAAATAAATAAATAAAATGAAGGATGAATCTTTTCCTTTCCTAGCAGTTAATAAAAGAATCCATTTTAAGAAAATAATACTTCTCTCAATTTGCCAACCACCTTTCATTACCATTGGCACTAGGGCTGTAAAAAAAGCTCGTTGTTTGATGTTGTTTGAATCGTTCGTTAAGTGAACCGAACAATAAGAAATTTTTCAACCTTGAATTATAAAAGAACCGTACATGAACAACTCTTTATTCGGTCGTGTTTTGCTTGTTTTAGTTCTAAACAAGGAAATTATATATAATATTTCTATGATAATATGTTATATATATTTATATCTAAGTTTAAATAACAGCAGCTCATGTGGTCAGTGATTTTGCGCCTTTTATTACATATATAAATGGTAAAGTTTCAAATCCAACACCATACCATCCATTTTTCTAATAAATTTAAATGAGTCAATTTCAAGTCGAACACAAACACATTGTTCACAAATAATTTTGAACGCGATATAATTTCCAATAGAATTAATTTCCAAAAAGCCGAACACAAGACAAACATGAGCTTGCTCAAGCTCGGCTCGTTTACACACCTTGATTTACAATAATAGCCTCTCACAGAAAAAAAAGAAAAAAATAAAATGAAGGATGAATCTTTTCCTTTCCTAGCAGTTAATAAAAGAATCCATTTTAAGAAAATAATACCTTTCATTACCATTGGCACTAGGGCTGTAAAAAAAGCTTGTTGTTTGAATCGTTCGTTAAGTGAACCGAACAATAAGAAATTTTTCAACCTTGAATTATAAAAGAACCGTACATGAACAACTCTTTATTCGGTCGTGTTTTGCTTGTTTTAGTTCTAAACAAGGAAATTATATATAATATTTCTATGATAATATGTTATATATATTTATATCTAAGTTTAAATAACAGCAGCTCATGTGGTCAGTGATTTTGCGCCTTTTATTACATATATAAATGGTACAGGTTCGAATCCAACGCCATACCATCCATTTTTCTAATAAATTTACAAGAGTCAATTTCAAGTCGAACACAAACACATTGTTCACAAATAATTTTGAACACGAGCTAATTTCGAATAGAATTAATTTCCAAAAAGCCGTACAAGCCAAGCATGAGCTTGCTCAAGCTCGGCTCGTTTACACACCTAATTTGCGCATTCTTTTGTAGAATTTTGAAAATCATTGCAAGCAGCTTCCCAGGTTCTGTTATTAAGATCATTGTTTTTATGGTATAGCTTAATCAAATTCATTTCGTTTCAGCTCAATATCAAGATTTACATAGCATCAATTTTTTAGCACTTTTGTTGAATCATGATAGAAACAAAAAATGTGGACTTCTAGATTCAAAGGAGCTCAGACCATTCTTCTGATTAGTTAGAGAAAGCTCAAACTTCAGCTTAAGGCTAAGTAGTATAACTGGGAACTATGATGTACAGATACTCATAATTAAGAAGCAATATTGTGTCAAACACATATTGAACATGAATATGCCTACAACACGTGTGAAACATGACATAAAAGTGTTCGATTTAAAAATTATTTTAAATAAAGGACATGTATCCTAATTTAATGAATTAAAACTTTTTAAAATATTTTTAAATATACATATATCATGATTAAAATTTTAAAGAAATTATGATGTTTTTTATTTATAAGTTAACTTGATGCAATAAAAGGCAGTTAGTGCTTATTTTTTCTATATCAAAAATTGAATAATATTTATGGATCCCTTAGCTTTTGAGAGTTAATATTATTAAATTTCTTATTCTTCTGAATGTTCTTCTAATTTAATTTTTATGTATTTTTATAATTTATATTAAGAAGATTTACATACATACAACTCAACTCTTATGTATTTACATATCTAACACTTGCAACTTCAATTTTTTACATATATACCCCTTTTACCCGAGCATGACAATGATATTTCACATTTTAAAAGTTAAAACTGTGGTATTTTTTTATGTGATGTAAAAGATTTTTGTGGTATAAATGTGAAAAGTATAATTTACGCGTTAGATACAAATAAATAGGAATTAGGCCACCTAACACAATAAAAACTACAACACGTGTGATTCACTTAGCCTAATGGTTTGGTGCTTCGTCTCCAACCACGAAGTCTTGAATTTAAAGCCTATTCCATACGAGTATGTGGATGAGTTTAAAAAAAAAACAAAGAAGATCAATTCTTCCACTGATCTTTCGCTTCTTTGATGGATATAGATGAACGGTTGTTAAAAAATTGGAAATCACGCCTCAAATTATAAAGTTAGAAACACTATACAAAAGGCAAAGGGGGAAGGGAGGGCAAAAATGAGAGGAGATGAAACTGAATTGGGGAGGCAGGATTTCACCGGTTTGATTCAAGCTTCGCACTTTGTTAGGACATTTCATTCATGGCAAAGAGTAATTTCATCTCTTAAGAGAAGGTTTACCATTCAAAAACTATAACAAAAAAGGAGCACTAACATACATACCACCCAATTTCTATGTATTTACATATTTGATACCTAAACTTTACTCTTCTTACATTTATACCACCGTCTTTCATAACGCATTAAAAATTACACTATTTTAACTTTTAAAAAGTGTAATACACCTTCTCATGCATAGATAAGATGGCATTATGTAAAAATTTAAAAAATCTACAACAGTAGCCAAATTAATCATTTAAATTCGTCAGCTAGATTCATATAGCTACATCCACCGATTAGAAGCCTTGAAACTATAGACCAAACAATCACCACTGTATCAAAATCACGAGATCTCACAAAGATAAAATACTAATGCAACTCAACAAATTAGTGTTTCACGGAATAACTATACACTTGTTGCCTCAAATCAACACGACTACTATTGAAAATAAGTAAAATTCAGAGAATGTGACTTATAAATACTCTACAAGATTTACGGGGTGGAGTAGATCAAGCTTCACTTAAGGTACGCACAAAATGTCAAATGGAGACGAGTCCTCCCCTACACCAAAATCTTTCATATCACATAGAAAATGCACCTATTTTAATTTTTTAAAAGTGATACATGCATAGGCAAGGTAACATGTGCAAAAATTGAAGTTTAGGTGTTAGATATGTAAATACATAGGAATCGAGGGGTGTGTATGTAAATCTTCTCAAAATGAATCAACAAAAAACAAATATAAGGAAAAAGATAAGTAGGAGACATTCACCTTGTCTTTTATAAATTTCCAAATGACTCTAGTCATCTCATCCCCTGCAAAACAGTGGTAAAATAATTAAATTTTATCTTGAATAATGATTACAAGTCAAAAAAACTAAGCTTACAATTCTATCCACAATTAAGAGGGAATGCAACGATCATCGAACTCAAAAAAAATATGGCTTAAATTATCTGGTATTTTGAGCATGAAAGATCATAAAAAAACAACCAAAAAGAAGGTATAGAAGCAACAATAACAAGAAAACTGTGCTCGTGTCATACTCAAGCTTATGGGCAAAAAGAAAAGAAAGCGAAAGCATTGATTGAAACTTACCAATTAGAACCTTTATTCAAATAGAACAAATATCTTCAATAAATGCAAGTAGCACCATAATCAACAAACATTATTACTTTTACCGAAGCTTTTTCTAAA